TCAACGTTAACAAAACTTCAATACATACCAAAGAACAACCTACTTGCCAAATATCAAGACCCAAGGATCGATCTTTGATCATGAAGAAACACAAGTTGAAGGAAAAGTGGAAAGAAAGCTGTTTTTCGTATTTTTAATCAAAAGTGTTATATGAAAAATTTACCGGTTGTCAATGTTTTTGAAAATTCCTGATGTTGAAAGATATTATCGGTAGCCAACTTTTAAGCAAGTATGAAAAATAGACTCGTTTTAGAACTATGGAAATTAACGTGTCAAAAATGGAAATTTTCTCATTATTAATGAAATTTCACAGAATTTTTTGCTTAAATCTTCGATAAAATGAACAATTCATTTTTGAAGTATTGTAATATTTGGTATCAAAAGAACATATCATAATAATCAATAGGCGTTGGCCCTACCTTTATAGGGCTAAACAGGTCTCTCAAGATGCCTCAGGTCGAAAAAGAGCGCTTCTATATGGAACGCCAAATTAACATATATTCAACTAATTGTACATACATTTGTATTTTCAAATAATTAAAGATAGGTACAATATTAATTGAGGACAAATAATTAAATGAATATATGTTAATTTGGCGTTACATACTTCTAGGTTTAACTTGTCACGGAAACACCTCCCTTTACCCGTCTACCTTATCCTTGTGGCTTTGTTCCTTACCATTAAAACAAAGCTGGTTTAAACAAAATCAAAATGAAGAACTTAGGCTTGTGTAGAGCTCTTCTTTCTTGTCAAAATAGTTTGATAAGGAGGTTGCCAAGTCACCAGAGAAATAGCTTGACGAAACACCTCCACAAGCTGCAATCGGCTTACCATTGGAAACAGCTCTTGTGCGAGTGCGACATTGCTGAGACAACTGTCATCAGTTCTGGTGCTACTTTATCTGCTGCATTACTATGATGTCATCGATCATGTCTTATCATCAGGCGCCTGTGACCTCTGCTGTCGCACTGTCATGTATCTATTCCTAGTTTACGATCAGGAAGCAACGAGATGCAGTAGGTAATGCTTTATCTGAAAACATAAATCTTGACTTTAAAGAACCTGTGACCCAAAGTTGTCTTCGTTCGAAATCCATCGGAGACGTCTGTCGCTAACATGAACTTAACTATAATTGTTGTGTTAATGATATCCAAGTTTAAATGGTCATCATACCTCAGGACAACTGATAGAATTTCTTAATTCGATTGGAAGCATGCTTGTTTGACATAAGTGCCTGGACGAGTTCTAACAGTTTCAATTTAATGCGAGACGGAGCTTTTTGCGTTCACTCCCAAACAAACAGAAAAAGAACCAAACCCTAGTGCACAAAAGCCGCGCAATCAGAGAGGGAACTTAGGTATATTCTTCGATAGTTCATCGTGGAAAAAACCCATCAGTCACTTAATACACACTATTATTTCTATATCAGAAATATTGGTTGTATCCGACAGTTCCTGACCACAGACGCCTGCGAAAAACTTGTCATTGCGTTTGTGACGACCTACTAGTCTGTTTAATACGCTATTGTATGGCATCGCTGGTACTTTTGTTGGAGCGTCCCTAGCGAGTGCAAAAACAGCATACCCGGTACGTGCCATCAAAACCTCCGTGGCGCCTTACTGGCGTTCGAGAACACTAACTTACGGAAATCTAGGTTTTAGCAAAGGAGAAGCAGCACTGTGGAGCAGTCTTCTAACATCACTCCGGACATTTGGATCTTTGCTGTTTTCAAGAATCCGTCTTTTTGCATATCGATAGGACACTTAAGACTAATTCCGTACTCTAATATTAAATTGTATCACCACATGGCTTCACATATGCACCCCTCCCCCCATTCAAGGCTACGGCAATGAGTCATGGTTTGTCAAAAAGACCTTTATTCTTTTGTATGTTGTTTTATGTTTCATGTGACGAGCATCTGCTCCTTTACTTGCTGATATACAAGGCCAAAAAGTACTTGTGCACCGAAACAAAGCCACGAGGTACTGTACTAGTGCACTGAAACAAAGCCACGAGGTACTGTACTAGTGAACTGGAACAAAGCCACGAGGTACTGTACTAGTACAATGGAACAAAGCCACGAGGTACTGTAATAGTACAATGGAACAAAGCCATGAGGTTCTGTACTAGTACAATGGAACAAAGCCACGAGGTACTGTAATAGTACAATGGAACAAAACCACGAGGTACTATTGCAATGTAACAAACCTACGAGGTACTGTACTAATACAATGGAACAAAGCCACGAGGTACTGTACTAGTACAATGGAACAAAACCACGAGGTACTAGTGCAATGTAACAAACCTACGAGGTACTGTACTAATACAATGGAACAAAGCCACGAGGTACTGTACTAGTACAATGGAACAAAGCCACGAGGTACTGTACTAGTGCACTGTAACAAAGCCAAGCGGTACTGTACTAGTGCACTGTAGCAAGGACAAGGTACTAGTACACTATAATAAGGCCACATTGCACTAGGATTTCAGTTTACTTTGGTTTAGTTTATGCCCAGTTGTATCATGTTATGTGTTTTTGGTGCATGTGATATGACACAAGTGAGGAAAATAGTATAATCTATCCCTGCCACAAAAATACAAATAATGTCACAATATTGGATATAATCAGCTATTCCAGACGTATAGCCTTCGTGATCATATGAGAATAGCATGCAAATCCACAAAGGGTTATTCCCCTTTGACCAGTATATAACAATGTATGGCATTTGTATATCTGATAATCAATTTATTATCAGATGTTCCGTGTACTTTGAACAGATAAAATGTTTTAGTAAATATTTTTGACAATTTCAAATGTATCTGTATAACAAAACAACCAAAGGACCTGCATCACTGTGTTTAAATGTGTTGTTATTATTTAAGCAACTCATTTGACCTCTGTGACCTAGACAGTGGGTGAAAGTTATTTATCACTAATGGAACATGTACCGGATTTGTAAAACGTCAGGATGTCTGTTTTATTTCAATTGTTTCTGTTGCAATGACTATGTCATGCAGTGACAACTTTCATCTTTACCTTAAGAGAAAATAAAATGTATATTCTAAAAGCTTATAACCTTTCAGTTGGTGGAAGTCTTGCCTTTAGGAAAATTTGAAAATATACATGGAAAAATGTCGGATAAAACTCAAGCTCATCAAGTAACTATTCTGTCCACGCGACGATTCAGGCTTTTATTCTTCCACCTTGGGAGATCCTTGGTCTAGTATTTTTTCCACAAGTGGATTACAAGGTAAGCAATACTATTGCATCAAATTTGAATATACAGTACATAATAGGATGATTATACCACTGGAAAGATAATATTACTGTCTTTTTATGTGAAATATTATAAATTTCTATTAAATATTCTATATTGACATTACTATATCAAATTATCTCCCTTGTTGAAAATCTTTTTTTACTTTATGATTTTTTATTAACAGTATTAATTGAAAGTTATCAAGACTATGATTTGCTAAGACTTACTCAAATCCACTTGTAACTTATGCTGTAGAATTCTTTGTGATGTAATTGTGACAGGGTATGAAACTATTTATAGTCGAAGTAATATTTTTTTAAATTGGGTAGATCCAGTTGAATCATTTTTGTTGAAACAATTTTGTTGTTACATATCTCACATGATTAAATTGTAACTGTGGAAAACATGAATTATCGTTTCATATGATATTTAAGTTTTAAGAAAAAAATTTGCATTACTGCCATAATATAATGATCTTCTATGTTGATTTTCTGTATTTACTAGGAAATGGATAATTTTTAAATTAACAGCCAATTATTTAACAAATGGAGTTTTTAATAATCCTATAAGCCTTCAGAAAATTAAAATTATGGTCCATTATTACAACAGCAGATCAAGAATCTGATTAATGGGCAAATTTGTTATTCAATGCTTTTTCTTATCTAAAGATGGATTGGTCGGGTGGTAAACACTCAGGCCTTCCACGCAGGTGGCCGAGGTTTGTTCCCCGAAGTCATCGTACGCATTGAATATTCAGAGGAAGTGTTTTTATCTTGACCATACAACTTTAACAACCCAGGTGGAGTATAAAATGGTCTGGGGTGGATGTTGCGGTATCTGTGCTGTAGCATTCAAATGAGGTGGCACAATGATACCGTAGGAAGCACAGTTCCACTACAAACAGAACACAATACATCTACAGCACACACGTATGCATACACACACAGGGAGATATTAGCCAGGTGGCATAGAACTAGTAGTTAATTCCTCAAACATTGTATTGATAAATGTATATGCTAATTGTATTGATTGTATAAATTGTATATCTATGTACTGTAAAGCGCTTTAGAGTGGCTTATTCTAGATAGATAGGGCGCTATATCAAATGTTGTATATTATCATTATTATCCTTTTCAGAAACTTTTTCATAACCCAACACCCTTCCCAACCCTTCTACTAATCAGTATTTCTTAGTGGTGTCTTCAAGCACGAAAAAAAGCAACTTACCTCACCTCTGTATATTCACTTCACTGCTTTATTTATACAATGGAGTATTTCTTCAAAAATATATCGGTAAATTTGACCAGATCCTTGGATGACAGAAGTTGTATGGGCAAGATAGCATGTCATAGTTTGCATATCAAGAATATAAACTACTTCTACAATGAGTTTTAAGGTGTTAATTGATGCATTTCCCGAACATGCCAGTGCCTTTTCTTGTTAAAATGTCCAAAACACTATGTATACCAATTAAATATTATATAAATTATATAAGTCAAGGCACAATGTTATATATATGTTTGTTAACATTTTAGTTTTTTGAGTAGGATGCCCTTTCTGATGGTAGTCCATCTACAGTTCCTTAACCTATTCAGGGGCTATAACTTTCCAAGCCTTCACAATGGATTTTAACAGGTATTTCATTACATACATTTTATAAGAAATTACTTGGTGACGAACTTCTTTAATATTTTCATTTTTTATTATTTCAATCAAAATAAAACAAAAAGTAAACAGTACATAACAATATTTCATCATCCAAGTTGATTACATTCTATAAATAAACTTGACGAGGACAAGTTTGATAGAATTCATTTACTCTATTACTGTTTTACGCATAACAATCTTTCTTTTTTGGCACTACACATCATAACTTTGTCCCCTGTTGTCCTAGAGAGCTTTTGAAGTTCACAGGTCTGAAGAACATTGAGATATCCCCTGTTCCTGGGCCAAGCTTCCTGATGTGTGCACGTTTCTTGGCCTGTGCTGCAGTGACTTTCTGGTGACACAGTACACATAGGGTACGGAGGTTGTCAATGTCACATTCTCCTCCACCTTCCCATACAGGCCTAATGTGGTCAGCATGCCAAAACTACAGCAAGAAAAAGACTAATGAAAATAGGGTGCATCCTACCTTACATTGCCATTATGCCTGCGTCTTCACATTGTCTCATCATGACGAGACATTTTCATCATGATCAGTTAAAATAAAGTCACACAATAGGTGAAACATTACTATTAACAACTAAATAAAGATGTTGTATAAAAGAACATTTCACTGCCTCATTTTTACCAGATCCATGTAACATAAACACAAAGTGAAGTCTCTGCTTTAGTATCATATCTGTAATGCTAACAAGGTTACCGCGAGCGGTATATAATACGCCCGTCACACATTGAATGAGCAGTTGTTTGTATGATTGAAATATATGAAGTATTTGTGAGTAATTGATATTAAAAGAGAAATCATTCAATATAACTGGTAGATCAATGAGTGCAATACAACATCATGGAACGCATGCATCGCATTAATGAAACCAAGGGGAATAACTCCAATAATTACGGTCGGATAATGGCGGTTATCGAACTTGTCCGAGGTTTCATGGTAATTAACCTTGTTGTGAAGTTTGAAGTTAATCCGTTAATAATTACTCGAGATATCGAGCGGACACTGTTTCGGCAAGTCCATAAAGGAGCATAACTCCACAAATTATCGTCGGATAATGGCAGTTATCAAACTTGTCTGAGCTTTCATGGTAATTAACCTTGTTGTGAAGTTTGAAGTTAATCCGTTAATAATTACTTGAGATATCGAGCAGACATCGTTCGCATACCCGACCGCCCGACCGCCCGCCTGCCCGCCTGCCCGCTCACGTGATAACTTAATACGTCCCCGTCTTCGACGGGCGTATAAAAATGTGTATATGATTATTTAACAATGTTATAAATAAAATTCCATTTGAATATCATTTTTTTTTTTATCACGTACGGGTAAGTGTACATATTTATGGTTTATTGGCTTATTGTCTGATGACGGTGATGGCGTATATATCATTCTAAAGTTATCGCAATGTCACCTGTTTCACTGGTTGTGCTGTATAAACCTATACAATATTTCTAATAATGTTGTTATACTTGACAGAATCATTGAACTGTGTACCTGGCCAGCAGCTGGATGCTTCACCATCTGTTCTCGCTGCCTTGATGTCAGAACACAAAACTTGCTCCCATTGATCAGCTCTGCTCTCTGCTTCAAGTCCGGATTATCTCTGAAAAGCAATTACTTAAACGATTAATATTCAATAAGTAAATAGCTAGCATCACATCATGAGACACTTAAACAATGTCACATACTAAAAAGACATTTTCAATCTGTTGTGTATCACATGATTTTCTATCTAAGGGCATTTGATAACCGTCGAATAATGCCATATCATCAATGCACATGTCACGTTTAAAAGACAACAATGAAATCCAAGTCAGCCACCCCAATTTGGCTTCTTTCTATGATTAATCAGCAAAATCTATTTACATTTTAGGAGAAAAATAATCATTCATCATGTATCTGTGTGGGAAGGGGTATTCCACCCTCAGATTCAAATAAGAAGTTTCCAACTCAGCAAGCCTGCCTGTTTTATAGGTAATAAGAGATTCTCAGGTGGAGTATCCCGATCAGATAATTGTTATTTTAACACGAAACATTTAACACTAATGGTGCTTGTTCAAGCCGTGCCTCTAGTTTGCGGACATAGATCGAAACCCTGTAGTAAATTACTGTATCTGGAGCTTACCTGATCTGTCTAAAGAATGCATGTGCTTCAAAGCCACAAATTTGACAGCAGCCATGTTCTGCTTCATATACCCGGTCACGACCATACTTGGAGTTTGTCTTCATCTGTGGACAGAAACATCCGGCATTAAGGTTGATAACAGTATGTTTCATGAAAAGGAGATCGAACATTTAGTTGTGAATCTTTAACATAGAAGTCATTGTGTAACTGTGACTAACCCAGTAGGTACACAGAAGTCATTGTGTTACTGTGAATTTCCCAGTAGGTACACAGAGGTCATTGTGTTACTGCGACTTACCCAGTAGGTACTCATAAGTCATTGTGTTAATGTGACTTACCCAGAAGGTACACAGAAGTCGTTGTGTAACTATGACTTACACAGTAGTTACACAGACGTCTTGTGTTACTGTGCCTTACCCAGTAGGTACCCAGAAGTCTTGTGTTCCTGTGACTTACCCAGCAGGAACACAGAAGTCTTGTGTCACTGTGACTTACCCAATAGGTACACAGAAGTAATTGTGTTACTGTGAATTACCCAGTAGGTACGCATAAGTCATTGTGTTACTATGACTTACCCAGTAGGAACACAGAAGTCATGTGTTACTGTGACTGACCCAGTAGGTACACAGCAGTCATTGTGTTACTGTAACTTACCCAGTAGGTTAACAGAAGTCATTGTGCTACTGTGACTTACCCTGTAGGTACACATAAGTCGTTGTGTAAATGTGACTTACCCAGAAGTTACACAGAAGTCTTGGGTTACTGTGATTTCCCCAGAAGGTACACAGAAGTCGTTGTGTAACTATGACTTACCCAGTAGATACACAGAAGTCATTGCGTTACTGTGACTTACGCAGTAGGTACACAGAGGTCATTGTGTTACTGTGTCTTACCCAGTAGGTACCCAGAAGTCTTGTGTTACTGCGACTTACCCAGTAGGAACACAGAAGTCATGTGTTACTGTGACTAACCCAGTAGGTACACCGAAGTCATTGTGTTATTGTGACTTCCCCAGTAGGTACCCAGAAGTCATTGTGTCACTATGACTTACCCAGGAGGTACACAGAAGTCTTTTGTTACTGTGACTTACCAAGTAGGTACACAGAAGTCATCGTGTTACTGTGACTTATCCAGTAGGTACACAGCAGTCATTGTGTTACTATGACTTACCCAGGAGGTACACAGAAGTCTTGTTTTACTGTGACTTACCAAGTAGGTACACAGAAGTAATTGTGTTACTGTGACTTCCCCAGTAGGTACCCAGAAGTCATTGTGTCACTATGACTTACCCAGGAGGTACACATAAGTCATTGTGTTACTATGACTTACCCAGTAGGTACACATAAGTCATGGTGTTACTGTGACTTACCCAGTAGGAGTCCATGCAGGAACGTGAACAGAAGCGTGTTGTCCAGGCATGCTCTGCATTAGTTATGGAATCGCGCCCCAACAGTTTATTTGTATATGGTGTGTAGCAGTGAAGGCACAGAGGAGTGCCATCCTCACTCATAGCCTAGGACAGAAAATAAATCATGTAAATTAAGTAAGTCAAGTAAAGTGAAAGATTACAAAAACTGACATCTGAATATCTAACATTCACAAGTTCTATGAAAAAAAAAGTTGCTAAATTTTGCCATCGACTATTTCAGTTAAAGATACAATAAAACGTCAGAAGTTATCATCTGAATCTTACCTGTACCACACCGTGTGACTGGGCACCTGTTGCTGATGTTACCTCATCACATTTGACTGAAATTTGACCTTTCACCTGAGGTTTCCTAATGACCCTCGTTGACCCCTTCACCTCCTGTGCCTTGGTAATGGCTTTGGATGCTATGTCTTCCTGTTTTGAAGAGATTATGACATGGTAGATTGCACAATAAGGACATTATATTCAGGAATGAGAAATGATGGGAGTTTGTGGGTGTGTCAATGTATGTGAAGGGGGAGGGGCTCTAAATATTAAATGTGTAACCTTGTAACACCCTCAACATGCTCCAAACCAACCAACTTACCTCCAAAATGGAAGATCAGTGCTGGAAATGAATATTTTTATTGCTATCTACTGTTAGTACACTCACACTATGTATTTTCTGTGTTTGTTTCCGTATAAATTCATTTTGAAATACTAATGAAACACACCTCCTTACATTGCAATTATTTTAAAACAAATTCCCTTATAAAATGTATAACAAAAGTATCTAAAATTTTCATTTCTGATGTCTTTTTTTCTGTTGTCTTGTTTGGAAAATCGTCATACCTTGGTATACAACTGACATTCACAGTTTATCTCCTTATTTATTAAGCAACACAGATATTATTCACATAAATAATGTATTGAAATTTTTTAATCTACGCTATGTTTTGAGTACCTACCTTGCTAATGTGTCGCTGAGAGCAGTTAGTCTTCCCACTACGCAGATCCTCGTATGCTCTCAGTGGACTTATAAACTGGATGCCACTCTTCATGATCAGTCGGCGCTTGGTTTCAGAAAGGCTGCGGAGAGTTACAGAATTTATGATGTACTACAGACATCAAGTACATTGTAATCCTAACACTATACGGTGTACCTGAACCTTTTGGACATCAAGGGGGATACAAGAGCATGTCAGACAAATAAGTGTTAAGAGAGGGAAGAGTGGAATGATGTTTGACAATACAGGATCTTGTTAATATCAGATATTAGTGAACTCAGATTTCACTGCATGTAAATAAATACATTCTCAATGGACTATCAATTCCTCAGTTTATAAAAAAATAAATGAGAAAGTAATTTAATGATAATTTTACATTTTTACTGCTGCTGATAGTATTTTGCAAGTCATTCATATGTCTGGTGTGAGACATTCAAATTTGTTCACCTCCCTAGTGCATCACACACACAAGTGTCAAGATGTTAATTTTCTGGGATATACTCCTTACCAGGTAATATATGAAATAAAGCTCCCACTTCTACTATTGCTGTAATACCTAGTCAATACACAGTAAATGTTTATGCTAGCAAAACAAATAATTTGAGACAATATATTGTATGTACAGTAATAAAAGATTACAAACCTGTTCCACTCTCTGACGAATCTCTCCACCAGTCTGAGATTGTCGGGGTGGAGCAGAAGATCAGGCAAGGCATCCTGGTTACCTAGTTCTACATCCAAAGGCAGGAAATTGGCTTCCAGAGAATTACCCTCCTGTAAAACACATTCAGTCATCAGACAACTGAAACATCAACTGTTATAAAGTAAGACACAAAATAAATTTAATGTTATATATCTGACACCCTGATTTGATAAATTTCAATGTCTCCAAATAATAATGTCTACTTATTAGGAATAAATATCAAAACGATACGTAACTTGCCAATTATGTTCTGTGTACCTACTTGAGCAGTTCTTCCTCTGTCAAGCAGGTAAACACGTCTTAAGTTCCAAGCAGTACTTACCCAGTCAAACAGATACACACGTCCTGTATATCTACTGCAACAGTACATCAGACATTTGTGGACGGTCACAGTGTCCAAGTCTACCACTCGCACATTGGCCTGTGGACAAGTACCTTGGTTTGGATTCTCTGAACAAATAAAGGTTAATCTTTCAAAATTGATGTCATTAAATTCAAATTTCTTTAAAAAAAAAAAATAAAAAAAAATTAGATATGCATTAAGTTTTAAAATTTGTGCAGGGTTATTTTCATATCTTATTTTGGAAATTGATATTCATACAGTTGTAGAATTAATGCATATGAGGTCAGTCTGTGATATTTCTACACATTTTGAACTTTATGCTGTGCTCTTATTCCTAGAGTAATCCTGTGGTATCTTTACTGTGTTGAATATCTTTACTGTGTTGAAGTACTGGGCCGTTTTTCGTTTATCACGGTCTAAACAGTTGAAGCGGTTGGACCAGAGTTGTTCATTTATGAAATAAAGTCGGACCTGGTAATCTGATGCTGCTTTCATGTGAGCCTTGACCAAGCCTTTCAAGGCCTACATAAACTTTTGCAGGTCCGTCAGGATTTATACCTAAAAATATTACATTTAAAAAGGATGCACCGGTTGTTCTTAAGCATAATTTTAGTGTGTCCGTACCCAAATTTAACAATAACTGTAACCAAACTGAAAATGGAATGCCATTTTTATTAGCTGTAACTTTTTAACTCATGAGAAGATTGTTTACTTTGTTTAACTGTTTTGCTACTTTTGCAACTGAATCCCACTAAATAAAAACATGATAAAAACATTGATGAAAAATTACATGCTATACAATATCTTTTCTCAGTCCTGAACTAAAATAAGTTTTTAATTAGAGTAAGACTACATGCATATAGACTAAAGAAAATCTTCCACACTGGTCAATCAGTAATCTTTTATCACCCACATTGTAAATCTTTGTTATGTTGCCTTACCTTCAGAGTTGTACTGTGACAAAACTTCCTCCTCCCAGTCGTCCTCAAATATGTCCTCCATCACATCCTCTATATGTTCTACCTCTTTCTCACCTTCTTCTTCCCCATCATCCTTCTTCCATCGTGATTTCTCTTTTAATGTTTGAGCATTTAAATTGTTATCAGTTGCTACATTTTGGTCATTGTGAGATTCAATATCATCACCAACGTGAGGTTCATTGTCAAAATCAAATTGTGATTCAAAATTAAGATCAAATTGAGAACCAATTTCAAGGTCACTGTCATCGTTATCACAGATGGTGTCCTCACCATCCTCTTCTATATGGGTGTCAGAGTCGTAAGAAGTGATATCATTTATACTTTGTGTATCATCAGAAAACAAGGACTCACTGCCATCATGACTAGTCACTTCCAAGGTCACATCTTCAGGGTCACCCACTGTCCTTGTCTTAGGTGTGAAGGTCACCTCTAATAGACTAGATTTGTCACACTGATTACTTGCACTAAGTTTTTCACACTGGTCAGTGTGACTAAATTTGTTACAATGTAAATTCAGATTAGACCTGTCACACTGTGTATCTAAACTAGATTCCTCACGCTGCTTACACTGACTGACACTCTGGTTAGTCCCACTGGCACTTGACTTGAGGGTTGTCTCCCCTTTGCACTGCAGATCATTCAGGTTGCTGTTTGTGCTCCCAATCTCCCTTGAATGTATAATATTTTCTGCAATACAAGAACCAACAGTTTCACTTGACTTTGCAAGATTCTGTACACCACATGTGTCAAGGGCTTCATTTGACTCTGTATGACCCTGTAAACCGCAATGGCTGTGAATCTCTTTAGACTTTGTATGAGATGAGGGATCATTTGCTCTATTGCTCTGTATATTGCCTTGTTGAGGTGTCACCACAGCTTTTGTCTTCGCCTCATTGCACATTTCACAGTATGGCAGATCATCATGGTTAAGGAAAGTACACACTGAACAACTCCACATAACAGCTTTGCTTGCATCTGATGTTCTTGTGGAATTAGTGGTCGTCTGAGACAGACTCAACTTTCTTCGAAGTTTGTTAATGGGTTTACTGTCTCTTTTTGCTTTTTTTGATGTGGAAACAGTTTTCCTTTCATTTCCAGTTTTCCCAACAGTTCTTCTAGTTCCTTTGCTTCCAGGTGTATGAATGAAATCATCATCATCATCCTCTGCATCTTTTATTGATAAACAAGTATTGTCCACATTATGAAGTCTCCTGACACGACTTGTTGCGGTTTTATTTGAATTGTCATGGTCACCTGCTTCTTTTCTAGCATCAACACTTGACCTTTTGACACTAGATTGTTTATGTGAATTTTTATCACCTTTTCCTGGACGATGTAGACTGATGTCGTGTAAACAATCATCAGAGAGATTGTCATCCTTCTCAACTCCCAACTCATCGTCATCTACGACAAACTCATCCTCCTCTATCACAGACTCATCCTCCTCTATCACAGACTCATCATCCTCCTCTACAACAGACATGTCATCCTCCTCCACAAGATCTATCACACCAGTACTGGCTGTGCTAGCCACCCTTTTCTTGCGTTTGCAGTTCCCATCTGGGCCGGATTTTTTTCTCTTTTTACCAGATGAAACGAAATCCAAAATAGATGTTTGGTCTTTAGGCTGCAATTAAAAAGGAAAGTTGGCACACAGGTCCGGTGAAAATACAACACATCATCTTGAGAATTGATTTAAACAGTTTGTTGATTACCAGGTAAATATTTTATTGGCAAGAAAAGAGATTTTTTGAGTAAAACAACAAAAAAATATTTACAACTGATATACAGACAGTGGTTATATTTATGGCAGTGTACTTACTGTTGATGAAGGGTAAAATAAAGAAACGTTCAAAGAGCATAAAGATTTTAACAGCTCTCTTCATGTTGACAGACTTTCAAGGTATTTGTCATAACAAAAGCTCTACAGAGCTGAAGTTTGCATCTTAACATGTACGACAATAAATAAAATTTCTCGTACCTTGTTTGGGCATGGACTGTCTTTCAGTCCCAAAGATTCAAGCTAAAGTTTATGGTTTTCAACATTTTTTTTTCTTTCTGTGTCATAATCTGCTATAATCTATGGGACTTCTAATAGCTTGACCTAAGAATGACCAAGCACCCTAAGGAGCTAGGAGACAGTGCTGACATTTCGGCCACCTTTTCTGTAAAATTATCTATACATACATACAGGTGCCGATCATATCTCAATTTAAAGGAACATCACTCTTCTTCATTTCCAGTTATTTTTTATTTACTTAAGTGTGTTATACAGTCAGGCTGAAACAATCAATGATAGTTCGGGTTTAAGAAGTTTGGCCACACGTTTTGTAATTTCAGGCGTTACAATTTCTAACACTTATTTCTAATCTTGTTAAAACCTTCTAAATTACTTATTTTTGCATAAAATAATGATTTTTGTTAGTTTTCGTACTGAATTTGCCCATTTTACATGAACAAACTTCACTTGTCAGCATTTAACACTGATGAAAAGTTGTTTTTTTCTTTAACCAAATACACAGAAAACCGTTTTTACTAACTGTTTGGAGAACTTTTGTCCAAAACTGAGCAAAAATCAACAGAAATTTTGAAGTTAAGGTTTATATTTCTTTTCTTTGACAAACAGGCAATATATGGAGAAAAGTTGAATATAAGTTGATATACATGGACTGTTTCATAGAAAGGAAATCCTGAAAAAATCAGTTATTGTTTTGAAATATTAGCTGTTAGAAAGGTGGCTTAAATTTAATACCCGGCAGAAATTGCAACACTTCCCCTAGCTATATATATAGGCAGTCAATACTGCCTACAAAGCATCGACAGCTGTTCAAGAAAAACTTTCTAGTTCACTCAGTGGGGCAAATAGCACCACCTTGCAGGTGTTTAATAGTTACTTCAGACTAATGAATATCAGTCGATAGCCTTGAAAAACAAAATTAATCATCAATTTTAGAAGCCACCACTTTACATACATAAGAGCCTAGTGTAAAAGTATGACCAAGCATAATTTCTGTAGCTAGTACAGTATGGGCAGCCATTTTGGGCTATTGTATTGGTTACAGAAACTGAGGTACACCAACCTGCTGTGACACAAACATGCCAGACAGGTCGACATCCTTGGTGGGCTGAGGGAGGACAGCATCGGCGTTAGAGAGAATGTCAATCTGGTAGCGACTTCCCTTGTCAGCAGCCAGCTCCTGTTTCTTACCATTCAGTGTGGTGGTTGTTACAATTGTCTGGGAATGTCAAACTTGGCTTTAGTATTAAATTGAACATTAAGTGCTATAAAACAACATAAAACATTTTTGACAAATACAAATTTAACAACTGACACTTGGTACAAGCGCATTATATAGCGAAAAAAATAATTATCAAGAATGATAAGAATGACTGAAAGTAATATATCACTGATATATTTTCCAAATAGAAGTGTATATAAGATTACATAGTCACCTTCTTACATACAGCTGACCAGACCCACTCATCCATGGTCTCCTTGGCAACCAGATAGTGAATGGACACACAGGCTGTCTGACCGATACGGTGTGCACGATCCTCACACTGAATCATCATACCGGGCGTCCAGTACATCTCAGCAAAGACAACAAGGCTAGCTGCAGTGAAGGTCAGGCCCTGTAAATGTAAGGTTGGTTTGGTTTGTGCTTTAAGTCCTATTAACAGCTATGGTAATTTAAAGATGAGCCAGAATTTGAACAGAGAAGGTCAGTCAATGTAAATACAAGTAATATTGCAGGGAGTACCTTTGAATGTAAGGAACAGTTGAGGAACATTTATTCGTTACACCATACCCACGGCCAGGATACTCACAACACTTACGGTAACCATGATGATAATTGATATTAAGAACTGTTACTTACAACACCTGCAGCCAGGATACTTAGTACAGCAACCTTGGTGTCTGGGTCTGACTGAAACTGCCGAACATACATCTGCAACAGGAACAGAAATCCACTCAAACTTTAAACAAAACTAGATTTAACTTGAGCATGGACTTCACATATACATATGTTTCCCACATACGTATCTACAAAGCCATTCATGAAATAGGGGTCGACGTATGCTACGTAATCCTGTATAACACTGTATTTCAGTACACAAGGTCATAGTCAGAGGTCAAATCCAGGTCACAGTGATCTTATTTTAAGGTAATTAACACTTTTCTTTCATGATGTACTTATACTACTCACATTTTGCTAAGAATCACTTTTATTTTTGGGCATATGTGAAAATAAATATTTTATTTGGTTTATACTGAGAATATGTTTGAAAAATTAATTGTTCTTTTAATTCATCAGCATGCAAAAATTCCAAAACCGTATTACAGTCGGAAAATGAGCCACAGGAAAAGGGTTTCCCTTAAAATTGGTAACAACGAGGTATCCACGAAAAAACTTAAATTGAACAAAACTCATCCTAAATAAACAGAAACTGTTTAAGTATCAGGTGTGACGCCCATGAGCATCAATTACAGCTTCACAACGTCTGCGCATGCCCCAAATTAGATCGTGTATCCGGTTATGTAAGATAGCATTCCACTCAACTACCAAAGCTGTTCCCAGCTCCTGGAGCGTTCTTGGCTGAACATTTCTGGCAGAGGGAGATGTCTGCAGCATGTCCACACATGCTCAATGGAATTTAGATTGATCGCAGTAAATCCGGGCCGTAACAGTACCATTATAGAAGACATTGAGGTCAGTTTTCCCACGAAGGCTTATGCCTCCCCTTACCATCACTGAACCTCCGCCATATCGGTCATATTCCACAATGTTACCTGCCTGGAACCTCTCCCCAGGTTGTCTCCATACTACTCTAACTTGCCTGTCTGTGAAGTCGAGACAGACTTTGGACTCGTCAGTAAAAAGAACTGGTTCCTATTCCTGAAGAGTCCAAGTGCTGTGAGCTTTGGCCCAATCTAATCGGTCCCTAACATGGCGGGCAGTTAAGGGAACTCGTATTGCTGGTCTACGTGACCTTAAACCAGCATCATGAAGAGAGTTCCTAACTGTCTGAGTGGCTACCCGGGTACCAGAAGCATTTAGGAGGTCATTTCGTATAGCTGTGGCAGTCTGGAACCTGTGACGCAGTGCCTGTATGAACAAAAAAAATGGCACTGCGTTGTAGCCCTAGAACTACCTCCAGCATGACCTCTGGAAGGGTTTCCGTTAGTTTTGAAACAATTCCACATTCTTGCCACCACACTTTGAGACACCCCAAGGTTTGCTGTAAGCCGATGTTGAGACATTCTAGCTTGCAGCATTCCGATGCCTCTATTCATTTCACTGTCATTTAACCGTTGTCTGGTTCGTCTTTGTGCCATATTAAAACACAATTTGAACAACGCCTTACTTAGCCTAGTTTAGCTTTTGCTTTAAAAGGGGTGCACACATGGAAAAGCTTGCAGGCGATTTTATGGTTGACTGAACACACCCACACAGGACAATTTGGAAGGCTAACATATTCGCCCAAAACAGTACGGAAGGAAAATATAATATCCTTTCTAACATTTGTGATTTTTTTTCAAAATATAGGTGATCCTTAGTAAAATGTGAATAGTATATATACAAAGTTGATTGATGCCAATTCATGAAACTGTGGCTGAAATATTCTCACAAAACAATATTTAAGAATTGGAGGTCAAGATCAAGGTCAAACTGAGGTCTCAGTGACCTTCTTTTAGGATGCAACACACTGTTTTTCCATGATGTACATATATACAAAGTTTGATGCCCATCCATGAAACTGGCTGAAATATGCTCCTGAAGCCACAGTCAGCATGGAGGGACACACATATATGGACAAAGCAAATACTAAATACTCCCAATTTCAGTCAAGGCAGAGGAATAGAAACAAGCACTTGGTGTTCAGATCTTCAATATTGAGATTTTATGGCCTAGGAAAAAAGAAATATGAAGGATGAATGAGCATCAATGTTTCTCTGTTTCTAAATTGTTCTTTCCAATCTCGATGGATAAAAGTTCTACCTGATCAAAACAACTTTTTAAAAAAATCAGCCATGATTTTAACCTACATTTCAGTTTTGAATATATTGCAATGTTTTCTCAATGTCCTTCACTTTCACTTTACTCTTGACTTAAAGTTGACCCGATGACTTCATGACCTTGACCCACCTTTCTGTTTGATATGTGTCTCATCATCTATTTCCAATGATCTAAACAAATGTATCGATTCTGGTGACCTACTCTCCATTTGACTTGCCTGTCTGTCTAAGGTGGATGAGCTTTACTTATCTGTTCGCCTTGATGTAGATGACCTGATCTATCTGTCAGTCTGAGGTGGATGACCTTGACCTACCTGTCTGAGGTGGGTGACTTTGACCTATCTGTCTGAAGTGGATGACCTTAACCAACCTGTCTGAGGTTGGTGACTATGACCTACCTGGGTGGTGTACTGGCCTTTCAGAGGTTAGTGACCTTGAGCTACCTGCCTGGGGTGGTGTACAGGCCTTTTTCAGAGGTTAGTGACCTTGACCTACCTGTCCGTGGTGGAGGACTTCGACTAACCTGTCCGCCTGAGGTGGATGGGCATTAACTATCTGTCTGAGGTGTTGTCGACCTTGACCTACCTGTCTGTCTGAGGGCGGTGTCTCACCATCTATCCTAATGAACTTGACCTTTTTGTTGTACAGAGATTGCTGTAACCCATTCATCATACTATGGTGGTAAGCAAACACAAGGAACTTAAGGTTTTCATTCTCACACAGCATCTCCACATAATCACGGGCTGGTCCTATCTGTGATCAACAGACCAATCATACAACTGTCAAATATTTTCAAAAATCAAATAAAAATAAAAATTCCATTGCTTTACTGCTAAAAAACTTGTTCTGTCCTATCTTATGAGTTTACCCAGTAATGTATGGCTGGATGTTAATAAAACAATGGCCATTCTGATACCCTTAAAATAGGCTTCTCCACTATATAGATAGTAGCTTTATTACATAAAATATCAGAAAATACCTGTCAGAATTGAAGCTATTACGTATCCTTACCATACACCTTAACATGATGTTTCTTAATTTAAACAAGACTTTCTCACTAACGAGCAGCACATTTACCTAGTCCACTCTGACAGTAGTTATTTACATTTACCTTCCCTCTTCATGGCTTTACCTTTGCCTCTCCACTCAATCGGTATAGTTTCTGTATAAGGATATTAGTAGAGTGACCTCCCTTCCCTTCTTGCTGCATGGCATTCATCATGTCAACCTTGTCTTTACCCTTGGTCAATAGGGGCCTTAGCTCACCAAAAGTTGTCTTTATCTCCTGTTCAACATAGCATGAAATTTAATTCATTACTATTGAACCTTAACAGATGACTGAATTCAACCTGTGTTTAATAAACCCTGAAAAATCAATAAACCTGGACCTCTCACAATATCTTACTGCACAATTTAAGTAAACCAGACCTTTGCAAGGTATTGCTGAATAAATTACTTAAACTAGGCCTTCGGCATTGATCTACTGTATAAATAACTACAATTGAGTTCACATAGATATACACAAATGGTCAAGAGAAATAAATCGTGCATATGGATTTACAACTGTATTAAACAAGAGGCCCAGAGGGCCTGTATAGCTCACCTGGAAATGTAAGCAAAATTTAAGTTGAAATAGCCAGATGTTGTTGGTAGTGTACATGTATTACATGGTTAGTCAGGGGTTATAAGAATTTGCTTTGTTTTCCCTATTGGGCCGTCTGACCCACCCTTTATACAAAATTAAGTCCCCCTTACCAAAGAATACCTTAGACCAAATATGGACAAAATCCGGTCATTTCTACAGAAGAAGGATTTTAAAGCTATTATTCTATTTCCCCTATTTGACCTCGCCCCTCTGCCCCTAGGGGGTTCAGACCCAACATTTTCTATTGTTCAAATTTGGTCAAAATACCTTCATCCAAACGAAAGAAGAAGGATATTAAAGCTATTCCTCTATTTCCCTTATTGGGCCCTGCCCCTCTGCCCCCAGGGGGCCACACCCACTATTTATAAAAAATTGAATCCCCTTGGCCCAAGGATGCTCCAGACTAAATTAGGATAAAATCCCTTAATCCCTATGGTAGAAGAAAGATTTTAAAGGTTTTACCTCAATTTCCCCTATAGGGCCCCATCTATCTGCCCCTAGAGGGGCCACACCCACCGTTTATACAATATTGAGTCCCTTTTGCCCAAGGATGCTCCAGACCAAATTGGGATGAAATCCCTTAATTCCTAAATAAGCAGAGGGTATAATTAGGCTTGTTTGAACTTGTGTTATCCAAAATCAGTAATACTTGTGACAACATTCTCTTTTAGCTTGGCATGACCATTTTGACTTGTACACTGCTAAAATTTGATCAATTTATAACAATTATACTCCATTACACACTGGATACATTAACGTAGGCTTACAGTTTTTATCTCTGAGTCTTTCAGCTGAAATAGAACACGTTGTCTCTGTTTGGGAGGCAGCTGGGTGAGGACATCACTTTTGAGTCTGCGGATCATCAGCATACTGGAAAGACGCTGTGCCAGCTCCTCCAAGTTACTAGCCCCACTGCAAAACATTTTTGCAAAATACAATAATTGGTCTTTCTATCTGTGTTTCAAAGACTGTAAAAGGATATAATATATGCAACCTAAATAATATTAAACAGGTTCAAAACTGATCCATACAAAACCACTATTTATGTTGTACACACTCACTCAACACGTCGACGTCTAACCCGACCAAACATCTCTGTTTTTGCATCACAGTATTTGGCTGTAAAGTTCCACCATGTGCCAAACTTTCCTGGACAAAGGGCATCAATTTGAGGGAACAACTGAAAAAAATACATCACACATAGCTTTTTACAATAAAACAAGTGAATCAAAAGGAGACAATTTCTTTTTTCTTCGTGTATTGACATACTTAATCAAACCTTAGTTACCTGTAAAGGTTCTATCCTTATTGTCTTTCAGATTTAATCATCAAAATAATTTAGCAAGTGTTTATATTTCTTAATGTGTTGGGCTGATTAACCATCTAGAGTCTTGCTCATTATAATATTTTCCCATGATATCTCATGTTTTTGCTAATTTTAAAAATATTTAGTTTTATGAATCCCTTATAATTTTACCTCCACAGGCCTGGCCAGGGATGGCGTTCCTGACAACAGAATGCGCCGGTTGGCTGACTTGACCAGTGGAACTATAGCCTTACAGGAGGATGTCTTGGTATTACGTATGGAGTGTGATTCGTCAACAATTACAACCTCAAACTTCTGATTGGTTAGGGCTTCATGAAGTATTTTACTGGTTGACTTGCACAGCAATCCGAAAGTAGCAATGGAGATCTTGGCTTCAGCAAATCCACTACACCACAAACAAAAAATTAAAGTACATTCACACGCTAGTAATTCAACAACTTAAGACCAATCAATCTTGCATTAACACTAATCAGCAGAAAGGAAATTATTAATTGCTATTACTGACCTAATTATTAATTAATTTTTTAATTTGCTCATAGTTATACATAGTCATACTACATGACATTGTATGATATATCACCCAGTTCTTTGTCTATACCAGTATGTTTTTGTCATGTCTCAGTCAAGTGTGAATAATACGTAGCCTCATAGACCTCGACTCACAAAATACACGGTCGAGCTATGATCAATTACAGATATTTTCATTTGTTATATATTACAGTGTACTACAGACTCCTGTTCATCAGGTTTTCCTCAGTAAAAGTGACTAAAATGTGAAAGAATTAATCACCGAAACATTTTGAAAAGGAAACAGTTCCCAAAATACCTAAGAAGCTGTATAATCAGAAACATATTATTTAGTGGTGACAAGTGTTTAGAATGGTACAACTGCAATGGGGATGTGATAAACTATTTTCTTACGCTCACACTGTAAGTCACTGTGGTTATCTCCCCCTGTGCTCACCTAGCATCGTTACCTGTCTGTATGAGGTAGATGTCCTTTGGCTGGACATCAGGTAGCCATTTCTCTATCTCCTCCACCCACACAAACTTCAGGGAGGACGGCACAATGATCAACAATGGCCACTCTTTCCTGTAGAAGTATGCCACAGAAATAGCCTGCAAGGTTTTACCAAGTCCCATCTGTAGAATGAGACAAAGATGTATCATATTAGGAGCAATCTCTGTGTATCTCAGCAATCATATGGGATTGAAATACAGTCAAACTTTGATGTTTCGAACTTTTTGCAGGACCATCAGGAAAAAATTCAAAACATCAGGACTTAATAGTGAGTATTGAACATCAACATCCTGTACTTTATAAGACAAAATGTGATTCTTATGTGATGACACACAGTTTAAGAAATTCAATTGAAAATATATAGATATTGATTTTTTTCACAGTTTCAATGTTGTAATACAGGTAAATTTTCACTTTGATTTATTAGTCGTAATTTTTAATGATTTCATAACAAACAGATCTTGATTATACTACTTAGAAGTTTGATTCATGAATAGAATATTTGTAGTGTTGTATTGGTGGAAAAAAGTTTGACACATCAAGGAATTTGAATGTTTAAAGTTCAATTTATGGAAGTTTGACTGTACTACTATTGAATTCTGACACAAAATTCAAAATGTGTTGATGCATTTAACATTATGCATCAATTTTCTAAAACATCTATTTAGTATTATACATGGTAACGAAAATAAAAATCCATCCATGTTGGACCAGTTATTATAGCCTTCTCTTCTAAAAGTTGTTTTTCTTTCAAATAAAAAGAAAGAGCTGCAGGATTAATATTATTTTGTCATCAAATACGGGATATATACCCAATTCAGAACACAAAGATAGTACACCAGTTTTAGCTGGCAAGTATATATGGTGTAACATGTATCACGTAAAGAATTTTGTAGATTTTTCCATTTCCCTTCAAGGGAATTTATGATGCAAAATGTTTGTTATTCCAGGGACCCAAATAAAACTGACTAAGAAAATCTCTGTAATGTGTTTGTATTGAAACACATACTTACCTCATCTGCAATCAAGCATCTGAAAGACACAATATACCATTTTAATATACTGAATGTATATATAACCTAACTGTCTTTGATACCAATACATGTGATGACTTGTGAAACATGTCAATGCATACAATAGCAAGCATCTCCTCCTACCTCTAGATGGATGCTCTACCAATTGAGATACTTGGTCGCTGACAACCGACCCTGTCCAGTTAAGCTACATTCCTCCCTCCTTTTTCTAAGTCTTCGCTATTTACAACCCAGGTTTGGATATCCCCTTGCTAAGCATTCACTCAGTGCTTGAAACAAGGTTTGGCAAGCTTGCCATACATAACACATACAGGAGTGAATTCTATAAACAGATTCACTTGGCTGTGACTATTAAAACCCACAGATGTTTATACTATTTTATTTAATGCACAGTAACTATGAAATTTGACTATAGGAACTGCACTGGAATGCAAACAAACAAGCCATATCTGGTTGTGATCATCAATATTCATTACTTCACTCAAAATGAATTTGTGTTCCTACGAAAAGAGATAACATTATAGTGTAACAGGAGAGGAAAAATGCACGGCCAGACAGGGGTTCGAACCTGGGACCCTCCGAACTCTAGACGGATGCTCTACCAATTGAGCTATAAGGTTGCCGACGATCGACCCAGTCCAATTTCGCTACATTAGTCCCCAAATTCTGCAAGCCCCTGAAAGATGGTATAATGTACCCTAAATTTTATTTCAACCCACAGATAGGTCATATTCAAAGACCCCAATTAAATTTGGAGCTTATGCATGCAATTTGAATATAATGAATTTGTGAATTAACTTTTAAAATTGTACATAGCGACGTTAAATTAGTCTACAATAAGGCTTGAATGCCGATGTCATCATAAAAACAATTCATCACTCATAAATATAATATGTCAATCTCTTTTGCGACCCAGTTGCAGTTTAATGCTACAGAATGATAAGTTCACTTATATACCTAGGTCGTGTGCACATAATATTTATAAAATAAATTATTGGTGTCTTTGAATATAACTTATCACGAGGTTGGAATTTTGGGTGACAATATACAGGTCCAGTACACTCTGCCGATTGAGCAATAAAGACCTATAATAGCTCTATTTAGGAGGCACGGTAGTACAGTGGTAGGACCCCGTGCTCGTGACTGAAGGGTCGGAGTTTGCGCCACGACACGGCAAGGTGTTGTATCTTTGAGCAAGATACTTTACTCTGCTTGTTCCAGTCTACTCAGCTGTAAATGAGTACGTGGTTGGGCAGTGCTAGAGTTGTTGAATGCTAGCTGTTAGCACCAAAATGGCAGCTCCGGCTGTATGCTCCCCAGGGAGTTTAGAAAGTTATTCGCTGGTTGCAAAGGCCCTATAACCACGGATAATAGTTTGTGAACAGCTTTGAGACGACCTACGAACTGGGTTGTGATAAAGCGGTATATAAGAACCTAGAATTATTTTTATTATATCTGAAATAGGTCTTTTGAGCTATTTTCATGTGATTTTCTTTTTGAAGGAAAACGAAACAAAGTTGCGTTTAAAAAAGATTTTATCATTAGGTTGATAACGAAAGACATTATTATAAGTATTCTTTTCAAAAAATAATGATGTAAAAAAAAACGGAAATTTTACATTTATGAAAAATGAAAATAAACATCTAAATGTATACTTTTTGTAGCCAACATTAACCTTACTGTTTTATGCGACTTTGCTTTGATTTAATGAAAATTGAAATCTGAGAAATTATAGCTCAATATAGCTATATAGATCTTTTAATATAGCTATATATAATCGGCAGAGTGTACTGCACCTGATATAAGGTACAGTTGTTACGGCAGTAGCGGATCACTCGGCGAAAAAACGATCCACACTATTTTTGAGAACAGGGTTACCACAAACATCGTATATTAATAGAATGTACAAAGTATATCCTTTCATGTCATATTAAAATAACTGATGAATATTGACCATATAAAACAAAATTAGCATCTTTTAGGGGGCTTGTTGAATCAAAATCTGGAAGTGGGGTAAAGAGGAGCACTGTAACTCGTCAACTAATTTCTTCAAGATCATATCTTGTGGTAACAATAACCTTCCATTCTTCTTAACTGCAAAACAGACACCTTCTTTTTGAAAATCCATAAGACGACTACATAGTTTCGTTGGGAGCGAGGACAGCACTTGTTCATCGTGACTGTTCCGTCGCTTCCCCGCCATTTTTCAAGTTCTAAAATCCGACCTCCAATGACAGGAAACTTAATAAGAGAGACAACTCCAAAACCCACCTCATTTGATATATCTAAATATCTTAAAACGGACATAACTCAAAAAATGTTGATCATACCGCATTCGTGCTGTTATATCATTGTAGATCATCTTTGTGACTTATTTTTCCTAAGTACATGTTATTTGAGAGAAGGTCAGTATACATATATTAATTAAAATCCTCACCGTTTGGTCAAGGTTACCAATTTTCCAACTTTTTTTCAATATTTTTCGAAAAATTCTGTTAGATATCGATGGGGGATTCTATTACAATGAATTCAATGTTTTCATTTCTTCTGTAGTTTACCGTTAACGTCATACGCCATTTTGAATATTTCCTTTGATATTTCTGAAGAGCCGACACTATATGTTCGAACCATTTTCTCTTGAAGTTTTTCTGCGCACATTTATTCTAAACGAAGTAAAAATATTTCTCTATCCACCCAGGCTCAAAGCTTCGAAGTTTTGACAGAGACGTATATATTACGTGGTTTTGTTAATTATCAAAGTGATTAAAAATCCAAGACGGCCGTCACGAGCTCTGATTGGTTAATTTTGAAACAGCTATTTCTCCATAATGCCTTTAGTCACAAGTTTCATGTTTGGATATGATATAGAGGAAAACAAGAGATTTTTTTCTTACATTTGGTAATTTAGAAAAATGTCAATTTTTCAGTTTTCGTCAGGTGTCTTCAGCAATCAACTGTCCTAAACAGCGGAGACAATAGAAAACCAAACAGGACACAACAAGGATTGGCAGCCGAAAGATCTAAGAAGCTAACCAGGAAGAGACATCGTGCAACGCCAAAAGATGAAACGAAAGCGAACAAACGTAATGCCATCTGTAATCTACATACGCAAAAACAGCAACGCCCATGAGACAAAAAAAAAGGCAGAAAAGGGCAAATAAGGGCATATTGAAATCACACCGAACCCATCATATCACCAATGAAGGACCAATATATGCTAGCACTGGAATGCAAAGATTCTGTTCCTTTATTTCATAATTGAAAAAAGACATCTTTGACGGTAGATCCGCCACACTAACGGGGAAATGAAGTCGAACACGATCGATCACCAGTTCCAGTCAATCGGGAACCGTCGGCACTTTCCGTAAACGAGAAAATACGTATTTTTCTCGTTTACGGAAAGTGCCGACGGTTCCCGATTGCAGTTCCAGTCAGTCTTATACCAGGTGGATTACCATATACACGATGACATGTCCCATCATGGAAGACATCAACACCCAGGAACCGAATACACCCTTCAATCGCTGAACATACACACGACAGCAAGCTCAAAGAACTTGTCGAGTTTATGTCTGACATAGGCCTATTAACAATTATTGTCCGGACATCATGTCATTAAAAACATCGATAAACTTGATAAGGATAAACTATTCCAACACTGCGAATACAGATCTACAAGGGGGCACTCCAAGAAGCTGTTTAAAAGGCCCTACAAAAAGCTAATCACAGGAAACTTCTTTAGCAACCGAATGATTAAACCGTGGAACTCGTTGCCAGAGGAAGTGGTCTCATCACCGAGCCTAAACTGCTTCAAGGAAAGACTAAACAAGTTCTGGAGAAATCACCCGAGGAAATTCAACCCCGTATTTTGGTATTAAGACTGGATCTACCATTCCAATACCATACTTAACATCAAGTGACTCAACTAAAACAATGAACTGTTTGAGTTTTTTAAGCAAACTCTACAACGGAAGGGCTCAACCCTTTTATCGACATGCATGTGAACATACCATAGATATTGCTACACTATTATGATTAAGGAAATAATAAGTGCGCAACCGGAAAAGTAAGTCGCGAGTGAAGAAATAACAATGATGCATCACCACAAGCTTGAACTAGCTTTCAACGATGCCACATCAGCAATTCAGCAAATGTGGGGCGGACACGATCCATCAGGACTAGCGAAAAGCCAACGGAGGGAAGGAGTGGAAGCTTGCAAATAACCGCTGTGTATCTCTGTCATGTGTATGTAGAAAGATAATGAGTCACAACATCACCAGTAACGGGTACTAAGGGGACAAGAATATATACATACGACACCGAAGGCAAGTCCAGTGAAGTGCAGGGAGCAGATCGCAATAAAATGTTGGATATCTGCAAGAAAAGTCACAGAAGCCCATAGAAAGGTTGTGCTGAAGAACAGATGTGGTTTCCCGAGGACTGAAGGTATCTTTGATGAGCAGTTTTAGATGGTAGTATGTTCCTGGATAAAAGGCCTAATCCATACAGGAACATGTAAACCATCACTGTGATCATCAGGGAATTGCTGAAGCTGCTAAAAGGGACTGTACCACAACTAGACGGGCTTGGACTCCATCCCTTTAAGAATATTGAAGATAGTGGCTAATAAGCTCGCCCCAATCCTGATCGAGATATATCAGTATTTACTGAAATCTGGGAAGTACAAGAACGGATAGATGCGATGATTGTTCTTACCTACAAGAAGTACGAACCACACAAAGTAGAAATCTACCAACCTGTGTACCTCGAGTCTAACTTCTGTAATATTCTGGAACGGTTATCACTGGTAGTAGTACGGCTCATTTTTGCAGTCCAACAACTCGGAATTAGGAATCAAATAATACTACCCTACTTTGAGGTATGACAGGGACATTTGAACCTGTATGGTGATAGGACCATAATCAGCTGGGTTTACTTGTGTTTTACCGGTTGTACCTCTATCTCCCCACATTTTACTGTGTTAGGTAAACGTAGTTTCTCTGTTTCCATATGTTTGTGACAAAATTAGACGTCTTGAGGGGGAGAAAATGCCGTTCAATTATAGCCAGTATCATATTAAGTCCATATTACCTGAGTTGAGTTACACCTGTGTAACCTGTGCATCATGACCCATTATTAGATTCATGCGATTTATCAAAATTTAAGTGTTTATGCATGTCTGCATGTTATGATAATGAGCTGCTACTTGCTCTACTTTAGCCTGTTCTAATAGCATGACACTTGATATTAATGATGTAGCGTATTTACATTATTGTGACCAATATATGTTGGTTAATAAAGCGTCCGACAAAATGTGAGTTGGTAGATTTAGTATATATTAAATAGACTTTACTGAATGTTATAACTACGTAGCCAATTTTTGCTTATCTAGCCCGAGTGTCAATAGCCATTCCGTTTAATAATTCAAACAGTTACATTCTCAAAGTTTTGTTCTAATTTTGGGAATATAGTTAAGATGAACTACTAGTACCTGTAAATTGATCACGTGACAATTTGGTATGCATGTGATGCCGCATTTTATTCAAATACACTCGAATGAAAGAATTTAAGGATGTACACCTCTGAGAAGTCAAAAAATTCCTGTATTAAACTTTTTTTCTTATAATGATTTTTGGAAAAAGGAGATAGTGGCATAGCAGAAAATGCCCCAAAAAGTATATGTCCGTGTGTTCGTTTTTGTGCTATGATCGGTCAAAGATACCAATTTAACACAATATGTGATTTTAGGTGAATTTTCGTGTTTTGACCATTTGCAGAACAAATTCATACAAAGTGTGTTATCAGATATGTATGAATGTTTGTAGAATTGATAAAATATTATTTTCTTTTAAATTATTGAAGTAAAATTTCTTAATCTTATTCATTTTACTCAGAAATACGATTTTAGTTACCCCTACCCCTTATTTTTTAATGAAAAAATGCACATTTTTTCACCATTTTTTGCAGATTAAACGCTTGATATAAAAAAAATCCTGTACTAAACTTTTTTTAGTATTCAATGAATCAAAAGAAAATGTGTTTCTCTTTCTAAAACAGCCACAAAAATGGGGGGTCGGTGTGCTTCTTTTTTTGTCCCATTATTATTTGTGTTATTTTTCACCTTTTTCGGGGTCAAAAATCAAAAGTGCTTCAGTTACCCTAATATGGAAAAAAAAATACCAATAATATATACCTTCCATTTTTTTGCATATTATTTTAATCATATTGAACATTATAAAGTTGTACAGCAAAATTGAACCTGCTACAATTAAAAATGGTGACATATTGACAATTTAAGTGATCAATCTAGTGTCAAAAAAGGTGAAGTTTTGGCCCTTTGTAAAGCGCAAGAAATTCACATAAATACACTTTTTCAAAATGGCCGCCAAATTGGTCATGTTTTTCAAATTCTTGTAAATAATGTTCTACAAACAACAGACATCTAGTTTTTTGACATGTTTTTCAGATGTGTGTTTGCTATTAAACTTATCATAATTTGTTAAATATTACAAAAATCCGTTACACAAGATCAAAACGAGACTTGAACGTGATTGAAACCTCAGAAGAGTACATCCTTAAATAGCATACTTTTGTCTTTTTACACATAATTATTCATATTAGCCAGATGTATGCTTATTTTCCGTACTGAACTCTATAGAATAACCATCCAATTTCAACTTCACGCATACGATTTATTTGACATTAAATCTTGCATGTGCCTAGTGTTTCATGACGCATATATCATGTCTTATACAGACAAGCAATCGGTATCTCAAACTTCAATTAACACCTGCATTACCATTCTGTCATAGGTATATGGCACTAAATTATATACAAAATAAGAATATCACAGGGGGCAGAACGTAATACGCAAGTAACGTGCCATGTATGTAAGTACCTATTTAGAATCATTGTAAAACAAAAGGATATACTGAGAACCCTTCTGCTGGTGAATACTGGTAGCAGATTATGTAGAAATATTGACACTCAGGAATGTGGAATCATAAGAAAATGGGGTTCTATTAGACTTCTAACGTTGGTATAGAAATTGCCTCTCTTTGCCCGTAGTTAAAATGGTGTTGACAAAGGACCATAACTTTGTATATATATGGACGCAAGATCAACTCCTCCTTCCCAAGACATACTTAAGTGTACGAAGTTCGGTTGTCGTAGGCGAAAGAGCAAAGAAGTTAAAGTCCTGACAAATTAT